CACTGTATGCACCGCATGTGATTCTGACACTTAACAACCCGTAGGGCAGGGTAGAACTGCCTCCTGGGTTTCCGAGACTGTAACTCTTAGTGGAAAGCCCCATCTTTCTCCCAAGGAGCAGCTGGTGGGTTTCAAACTATGGATCTTGTATTTAGTTGCCCAAGTAACCACTATGCCACCAGGGCTTTTTTTTTACCACATCAGTTACGGTCTACTGAGTAGTTGCTACGCATATACCCACTCTACTTGATTTATCTCATTTAGTCCTTGGGACCCTAGTAGGTTGAGAGATGAGGAAGCCGAGACTCATAGATATACCATTTAAGGCCAAACAGGTGTCTGGTGGTAAAGATTCAATCTCAAGTGTGTCTTTGTCCTTTATGTAATTGCACAGGGAAGTTATGATTTGCTCGAGGCCAGGTAAATATTAAATGGCAGACCTCGGATTTCAAGTGAGGCCTCTGTACTGCCCAACCCCGTGCACACTGGACAGTGTGGTCACTAAGTTGGTGGGGACTCCTGAGGGCTGGAGCGCATCCCCAGGGTGCGCAGGGGGTCCCAGAAAACATTTCAAGTGTTTCATGACTGCTCTCCAGGGGCTCTGCTGTAGTGGAGGTCTCAGGAAGAACCACGGCTCACCTGCTCCCTGGGCTTGAGCAGTCTAATGTCCTCAGTAACTCAAACAGCCAGAAGTCATTCTGCTGAACTTTATTTGTTTGTTTTGTCCTCCTGATATACTGTGCCCCCTGCTGGGAAACAGAGACAATGCCCACAAGGGAGGCTCTCTGCAGAAGGCCAGGGCCATGCCAAAGTACACACTGTGGCCAAGCCTCAAGAAGCACCAGCAAGACAGGTTCTATGGCCGCCAGTGAACTAACTGCCAATGGTGCCGGTTCTGCAGACGGCTGCCGCAGCTGCACTCTGGACACAAATACATGCCGTTGCACCCAAAGTCTTGATTACAGAGAAATATAAACTATCCTGTTGCGGGTGAGGATCCAATTCCCTTGACTGTCCACAACCAAACAACATTGAGTGAGAGATGGGGAGCGTCCAGAAACAGGAATTAACTTGGGAGTGTCCAGTCAACAGACCGGTTGGCAGATGGATTCCACCAGAGAAGCCCTTCAAGGTATGGGGTACCTGGGGTTGCCTCCGAAACATTTTCTAAGGAGTTCTTTGTGCTACCCAACCAGTGCAGTTAAAGGCCCGCGCCCAGAGACTCAAGCCACTGGCTGGCTTCTTCCCCATTTATTCAAATCCCATGGGGCTACTGCTCCGAAAAGCAGGGGAGGTGATAAGGTTTTGTGCACTATCACTCAGCAATCCTCTACTCTATTTCTGGTGTCTGCACGGAGTCCCCCACGGCTGGGTTTAAGGGTAGGCCAGGTAGGGGAGGTCTGAGAGGCAGAGAAAAATACTGCCTGGGGGTAGTCAATCTTCCCTGCTATTCAAGCTGTAGCCACTCGGGGGCCCCAGAAAATCAGGCACCAGGCCCTGGCTTTGCTCCCAGGGGAGGCTGCTGGTGGGAAGCCGTTTGTCCAACAAGCCCAGAGGCCGCTCTGTTTCTCTAGCACCTGAGGGCGGGCCAGTGCCCCAAGTCTCAGGTTTCAGGGGGATACCAGGGCCCTGTCTAAAGGCTTCTCTGTTCCTTGAAATTGTACAAACTGTCTCTTGTGGCTTTTCTCCCTCCCTCCTTTTTTTCCTGTTGACTCTCCCCCTCTGGCTCTCTGAATCACCAGACTCCACAGGAAAGCTGCAGATGTTGACTTTACTCCTTTGAGCCAACGTCAGCGCCCTCCTATGGCGTGAGGGCAGGCAGGAAGGTGAGAGGGCGGGGGCCCGGGGAGGATCACTTTCATCCTTTCCAATTTGGGAGGGAGGACACAGAGGGACTCTCAAAGGAGTCAGGGACCTAGGCACAAACGTCTGGATTCCCAAGGGATGGGGG